GGCGGAGTTGTCGGGTTCAGGAGTTCCTCAAAGTGTTCCTTCCAACGCCCTAACACTCCATCAGTTGAGGTCAACAACGTCCCATCCTTACTGTACACAGCTTGGATGGTTCCCTGCTTCCCCCTCCTGAGGTGTCGGACAGTTTTCCAGAACAACTTTGGTGCCGCCCGAAAGTCCTTCTCCATGTCTTCTCCGAACTTCTCCCACACCCGCTGCTTTGCCTCGGCCACGGATGAGGCTGCTGCCCTTCGGGCCTGTCGGTACCTTGCAACTGCCTCGGGAGTCCCCCGGGATAACAAATCCCTGAAGGCCTCCTTCTTCAGTCGGACGGCTTCCCTGACCACCGGTGTCCACCAGGAGGTTCGAGGGTTACCGCCCCTTGAGGCACCTAGGACCTTGAGACCACAGCTCCCCGCCGCGGCTTCGGCAATAGAGGCTTTGAACACCGACCACTCTGGTTCAATGTCCCCAACCTCCACAGGAATGCCCGAAAAGCTCCGCCGGAGGTGTGAGTTGAAGGCCTCCTGAACTTGGGCCTCCTCCAGACGTTCCCAGTTCACCCGAACTACACGTTTGGGCTTACCAGGTCTATCCAGAGGCTTCCCCCGCCACTCGACCCAACTCACCACCAGATGGTGATCAGTTGACAACTCCGCCCCTCTCTTTACCCGAGTGTCCAAAACATACGGCCTCAGGTCCGATGATACGATAACGAAATCGATCATGGACCTTCTGCCTAGGGTGCTCTGGTACCACGTACACTTATGAGCATCCTTATGTTCAAACATGGTGTTTGTTATGGCCAATCCATGACTAGCACAGAAGTCCAGTAACAAACCACCACTCCGGTTCAGATCAGGGGGGCCGTTCCTCCCAATCACGCCCCTCCAAGTGTCTCCATCATTGCCCACATGTGCGTTGAAGTCTCCCAGCAAGATTAAAGAGTCCCCTTCAGGAGCCCCATACAGGACTCTTTCCAGGGTCTCCAAGAAGGCCGTATACTCTGAACTGCTGTTGGGTGCATAAGCACACACAACAGTCAGAGTTTTCCCCCCCATAACCCGCAGGCGTACCCTCTCGTCCACTGGGGTAAACTCCAACAACGAAGCACCTAACCGGGGACTTGTGAGTATCCCCACACCCGCCCGGCGCCTCACACCTTGAGCAACTCCGGAGAAGAATAGAGTCCAACCCCTATCCAGAAGTAAGGTTCTAGAGCCGACGCTGTGCGTAGAGGTGAGCCCAACCAGATCCAACTGGTAACGCTCCACCTCCCGCACAAGCTCCGGCTCCTTCCCCCCCAGAGAGGTGACGTTCCACGTCCCCAAAGCCAGCTTCTGTCGCCCGGGTCTGGTCCGTCGAGACCCTCCGCTTTCACTGCCACCCTTCTGGCAGCGCACCCGACCCCATCGATGTTTCCCGTAGGTGGTGGGCCCGCGGGACGGAGAAGCGGAGGTGTTGCCCACGTTGCCTTTTCGGGCTGGGCCCGGCCGGGCTCCGTGGCAAGCCCGGCCACCAGACGCTCGCCGACGAGTCCTCCTTCTGGGCCTGGCTCCAGAAGGGGACCCCGGGCTTCCTCCGGGCCGGGTATCCTCACTTCTTAGTTTTTCTTTCATGAGGTCTTTTGAACCAATCTTAGTCTGGCCCCTTGCCTGAGACCAATTTGCCATGGGAGACCCTACCAGGAACACAAGGTTCCAGACAACACAGCCCCCAGGTTCATCAGGGCACACAAACCTCTCTACCACGGTAAGGTGCTGGTTCTTCAGAGAGGGAAATGCTAGCAATGTTTTGAATTCCCTCTGTGGAGAAAATAGAAAGCATTTGGAAATCTGGAAATGACCAACAATAAAGATTGTTTTGAGATGAGTGTATGAATTGAACAGCCTGATATACTCTGCTGTCCGGAATTGTCAGATACAGTCCGTCTGGTGTGAAATGTATGGTTGCTTGTAGCTTACACAGTAGGTCTCTGCCCATTAGGTTAATTGGGCTGCCATCTGAGATAATGAACGAGTGTTGCACCTGTGATCCATCAACTGAAATATTAGTTCTCTCTGAAATAGGCTCTGCCATTGGAACGCCGGAAACGCCTACAGTGGTAACAAAATTGTTAGTTGCTTTACACACTTGCTCCTTTGATCGTACTGCTGATAATGTGGCACCACTGTCAACCAAAATGTCAACAGTTGTGCCATTAACCTCAACCGGCATCATTGGATCTTCGCGGGGGTTATTGGAAAGGCGAATAGTTGCTGCTTGAATGGGGACATTCTGTGTTGCTGATCCTGTTCCTCCATGGCCTCCCTATTTTGGATTATAGCCATCCTGTGCTGCGGCATACTGCCCCTGCTGGGCTTGCCTGTCATAGGGTGGAAACTGGCTGTTGGACAGAGGTGGGGGTGCTTGGGAAGTTGGAGGAGGCAGCAGTGTGGGCAGCGGGGGTGGGGGCAGAGCAGGCAAGTTGTGTGTGTGCTGCTGTGCTCCCCACCTGTTGGGACATCTAGCTGCCCAATTATCTGTGCAACCGCAGACGTGGCAGTGCATTTGTTTTTGGGGGTTTCTGTTTTGCTGCTGTCTGTTTTTGTTTTGATAACCCTGTGACTGTCCTTGGTTCTGATACTGTGGTGTGTGGTTCTGTCCCTGAATCTGCTGTGAGTTATTCTGACCCTGATAAGCCTGTGTGCTGCTCTGAGGAAGTTGTTGCAGCAGCTGGGCAGTTCGGAGGACCAGACAAATCTGGCTTCTGTGTAGGGCCCGCATGGTGGCGACAGTAACTTTCCAGATTTTTATCTGCCAATCAGGGGTGGCTAACATGTACGCGTGAGCTGTCTCTGGGATAAGGTTATGCAATAAGCTCTGTACTGCAAACAAATCATTGATCTCTCTGTTAATGCCTGCACTGTTGTCCCACACTGTTATGAATCTCTGGATACATTCTGGCACTGTTTCTGTAGGGCCCTGGATGCAAGCCATCACTTGGGAACAATCAGTGTGGGTTTTAGCACATGCTTTGATAGCTTTGGCTGCGTCAGTGTCTAGCCACTGAGTGAGGGACTGTGATACGGGCCAATCTCCTGCGTCTGTGCACACTGGAAACGTAAACTCATATTTGCACGTGGGCCATTCTGCCTTGTATGTGAGGACGATCAGCTGTTTAACATCATGCACTAAACAGTTGTACACCATGCACACATTAGTCAGCCATGATAGATACTCATCTGGGTTTTTAGTGGGGTTGGGAGCGTGTCTTGTGAAATCGATAACCTCTGAGGGAGTCCATGGTTTGTAAACCGGGACTTCTCCTATCAGGATTTTCGGTAAAATTAGTGCTTCTTTCTGCGCTGCACTATGTGTGTCTCGCTCTAGCGCTGAATGTGCCGCCTGTCTTGTGATCCTTTTTTCGTTGAGTTCCTCCAACAGAGCAGGGGGGCTTCGTGCTGGAGATGGCTCTCCTGAATAATCAGAATTCTCACCTTCGCTAGTCTCACTGTCGCTCTTTTGATAGGACATGTGTAAAACTGCGTTCTTCTCTGCGTGTGCGTCTAGTATTTATTGTCCCCTTCTCTGTACTTCTACCTGTCTGTGGTTTATGATAGCTGCAGCTGTCATTAGCAAGTCGTTATCTGAGTTTCTGGCAATAGGATTTGGTTCATTTGTGTCTGTGGTGGGGATCACTTTGGGGCAGAGAGTTACAGTGTGCTCTTTGATCATGCTCTGTGTCAGTGGGACCCCTGCGTCTGCCAATATGCTAATCATTTGGGACGGGAGGGGAGCTTTGCCCTGGCGCTTACAGCTTTAGCTATGGCCGCTACATCTTTGCCATGCCTCTCTTTTATTTTGGACATGTTCTCTGCTCTGACGTCAAAAGCAGCTTCTAAGCTAAGCAAGTGACAACCCGCAACACATTTGGAAACATTATCAATCATCGTTCTGAGCTCACTGGAGCCCCACTCGCAGTCACCTCCACTTTCACTCTTTTTTTCATGAAATCCTTTTCTGTCTCCCACAGACATCCACGCTCTCACACATTATTTCATGTACACTGTGTCCCAAGAGGGATTCGGTTCATCCTCCACAATTTGAAACGCCTGCCGCAGCACACTCATGTTAAAAGTGCCATTCAAACAGGGTTGTCCCTCTCTGATTGTTCCGCTGTGAACATTTGCACATCAGCACTGTAAAAGGCATCACATGATTCCAGCCTACAGCTCTGCCGACTATCCCGGACGGCATATTTGGGGAAAACATGTGTGTGTAATTCTGGTTGTCAGTTGTGAATTGTGGGGGGTGCACTGGTCTAGCTTGGGTCTGTCCTTTATTGTGTGTGTGTGTTTTAGCTTTAACAACTGGCTCAGGTGTGGACACATGATTACCCATTTGTATGGTTAGTACAAGAAAATCAACATTGCAATTTGGACAAACAAACATGAACTCGCAATAAATACCAGCGTGACAGCAAAGTTCATTCAGCTCAATTTAGTCCGAATTAGGAGGTTTTCAGAGGGGGTAGGGAATTATAGAAATGGAGCACCTTGACTCGTGCATCCACCCTTGTACAAGTGCTAAGATCGTGCCTGAAGACCATCCAAAAGCGATAACTAGCTTATCCTCTTGCGACAACCACTACTGTATTCTAGTGGCGCTATGAACCCCCGACCAGGAGAACATAGACTTTTTTTCCGCTACCCTTTCTCTCCAAAAACAGCACAGTTAACTGTAGTCCTACACGACCAGCCTATACACCAGCCATGGAGTTCATCACAACGATGAAACACAGTTTTGTTCTACACCTTGCTTGCCACTGCCCACCCGTGATCAATTAGCCTATAATTTTATGTATGCACCCCGGACCGCCACCAGCTGGTCCAGCAACGTAGGGAACGCTTCCAAGCAACGTAGGAAATGTTCATCCAGCAGAGTAGAGAGCTGTGGCGCATCAGGTGATGCACGCACCTCTGTTACGGTTATCTGAGAGAACCCAAACGCAGGACACGGCAGTGTGTTACAAAGGTTTTATTTGGAGGAGATAATCCGGCTGGAGAGTATCCACTGGAGCGTAATCCACTGAAGAGTATCCTCCGGAGTTTTAATCCACTGGAACGTAATCCACTGAAGCGTAATCCTGGAGCACAAGAAGAACAGGTAAGAATATATTCAGGTGTAGCGAAAATAGTCACTATACTTTAAGAAGGCTGAGAAGGCTAAGAGTTTTACCACTGGGGTTTAACAACGATCTGGCGCTGACAGGTTGTGGAGCCTCCGCTGATATACCATCCGTAATGGCTGATGGGAATCAGGTGTGTCACAGAGGAGAGTGCTCAACTGTTTGCAGCTGGTGGAGATTTGAGCCGGGAGCCAGGAGTGACAGGCACCACGCCCACACAGACAGGGAAAGGGAAAACACACACACACAAGGAAGGTGGCTGGAGAATGCAACCACCACAGTACCCCCCCCTTAAGGGACGCCTCCAGGCGGTCTACCAGGTCTACCAGGTCTTCCAGGGTTATCCCGGTGGAAGTCCCGTATCAGAGATGCGCCCACGATGTCTCGCCGGGGAACCCAACACCTCTCCTCTAAACCATAGCCCTCCCAATCCACCAGATATTGGAATCCCCTTCCACGGCGACCTGACGGTGTAGGTTGGATGATTATTGATGATGCGGGGGGGTGGGGGAACACTCACTGGAGGAGACAAAGGACTGCTGGCAACAGGTTTCAACAGAGATACATGAAATGTTGGATGAACCTTCATGTGTGAGGGAAGTTTGAGTTTGACTGCAGATGGATTAATAATGGAGTCGATGATGAAGGGGCCGACATACCGTGGGGTAAGTTTATTTGACTCTGTCTTGAGTGGGAGATCTTTGGACGAAAGCCAAACACTCTGACCTGGTAAGTAGTTGGGGGCCTGGGTCCTGTGGCGGTCTGCGATGAGGCGGTTGTGGGCAGCGGAGCGGAGCAGGGCTGCTCGGGTGTCCCTCCACACCTTACGACAACGACGAAGGTGGGCCTGAACGGAGGGAACAGCAACTTCCTCTTCCTGGGCTGGAAATAGAGGTGGTTGGAAACCCATGGCACAATGAAAAGGTGAAATACCTGTGGCTGCACTTGGCAGGGAGTTGTGGGCATACTCGATCCATGGCAGATGTGGGACCCATGACGAAGGGTTCTTGAAAGCCACACAACGAAGGGCCGACCCCAGATCCTGGTTGGCCCGTTCTGTTTGCCCGTTCGTCTGAGGATGATAGCCAGATGACAGGCTCACCGATGCTCCCAGAGCCTGACAGAAGGCCTTCCAAATGTGGGAAATGAACTGGGGGCCCCGGTCAGAGACGATGTCGGTGGGGATCCCATGAAGTCGAACTACATGGTTGACCAGCAGATCTGCAGTCTCTCGGGCAGTGGGAAGTTTGGAAAGAGCCACAAAGTGTACCATCTTTGAGAATCTGTCCACAATAGTTAGGATGATGGTATTTCCTTGTGAAAGTGGAAGTCCAGTAACAAAATCCAATGCCACATGCGACCAAGGGCGACTAGGTACTGGCAGTGGGCGAAGCAGGCCAGCGGGAGGCTGGTGGGAGGACTTGGCGCGGGCACACACTGTACAGGCAGCAACAAAGGCCCTGGTGTCTTGAGCCATGGAAGGCCACCAGAAGCGTTGTTTGAGAATGAACAGTGTGCGATGGACACCAGGATGACATGAGAAACGAGAGGTGTGTGCCCACTGCAGGACCTTGGAGGGGGTAGGCACAAAAAGACAATTAGCTGGGCTGTTACCTAGGCTAGGCTACGCTCGCTGGGCCTCCCTGACCAATGACTCAATCTCCAAGGTAACAGCCCCCACCACGCAGGAGGCAGGCAGGATAGTGTCTGGACTGGCAGCTGGTCCATCGGAAGCGAACTGGCGAGAGAGGGCGTCAGGCTTGAGGTTCCGTGACCCTGAACGGTAGGTGAGGGTGAATGAGAAGCGGCCGAAATACAGGGCCCATCGAGCCTGACGGGAGTTAAGGCGCTTGGCAGATTGGATGTACGCCAGGTTCTTGTGGTCCGTCCATACAATAAAAGGGAGTTCAGCTCCCTCCAGCCAGTGCCTCCACTCCTCTAGGGCAAGTTTGACAGCCAGCAGCTCTCTGTTACCCACGTCATAGTTCTTCTCAGCTGGGGTGAGGCGGCGAGAGAAAAATGCACAAGGATGCAATTTTTGGTCTCGTTCCGAGCGCTGGGAAATAACTGCTCCTACCCCGGTGTTGGAGGCATCGACCTCCACAACGAACTTGCGAGAGGAATCAGGGTGGATGAGCACAGGGGCAGTGGTGAAGAGTCTCTTTAGCTCTGAAAAGGCTGCATCGCACTCTGGGGTCCAGGAAAAGCCAGTTGTGGGGTAAGTGAGTCTGGTTAAAGGACCCGCCACTCTGCTGTAGTCCCTGATGAAACGCCGATAGAAATTGGCGAAACCAATAAACTGTTGAAGCAGTTTGACTGAGGTTGGTTTGGCCACCCCACCACCGCTTGGATCTTCTCAGGGTCGGACCTAAGCTTTCCTTCCTCAATGATGTAGCCCAGGAATGAGACTGTGTTGACATGGAATTCGCATTTCTCCGCCTTTACAAAGAGTCTGTTCTCCAGGAGTCTCTGCAGCACCTGCCTGACATGGATAATGTGCTCCTCCTTGTTACAAGAGAATATGAGGATGTCATCCAGGTAGACAAAGACTGACCGGTTGAGGAGGTCACGGAGCACATCGTTCACCATTGACTGAAAGACTGCAGGGGCATTCGTCAGTCCAAAAGGCATCACCAGATACTCGAAGTGACCGAGTGGTGTGTTAAAGGCCGTCTTCCACTCGTCCCCTTCTCGGATTCTGACGAGGTGGTAGGCATTGCGGAGGTCCAGTTTGGAAAAAATGGTGGCTTCCTGGAGGGGTTCAAAGGCGGAGTTAATGAGGGGTAGTGGGTATTTGTTTTTTACAGTAATGGCATTGAGACCCCTGTAATCAATGCAGGTCCGCAGTGAGCGGTCCTTCTTGGAGACGAAGAAAAACCCAGCACCGACCGGGGAGGAGGATGGCCGAATGACACCAGCAGCCAGGGAGTCATGGATGTAATTTTCCATGGATTTTCTCTCAGGGCGAGATAGGTTGAACAGACGTGAGGAAGGCAGAGGGGCCCCGGGAAGGAGGTCAATGGGACAGTCTTAGGGTCGATGAGGAGGAAGAGAAAGAGCTCGCTGTTTACTGAACACCTCTCCTAGGTTATGATATTCAGTGGGAACAGATGACAGGTCAGGCGGCTCGATCTTGAGTGGTGGAGAGGCGGCCTCTGCTGGCGGTAGGGCAGACTGCAGGCATGAGGATAAGCAAAAAGAACTCCAACTAATGATTTTGCCAGTTACCCAATCAATCTGGGGGTTGTGAGTTCTTAACCAGGGATGGCCCAACACTATGGGGGCCTGAGGTGAGGAAATTAGGTGAAACTGAATAAACTCACGATGGTTTCCAGACAGAATGAGGTTTACTGGCTTGGTGCGGTGAGTGACTTGGGCCAGGAATTTTCCATTTAGAGCATTAGCACTAAGAGGTGAATCTAACACTTCGCAGGAAATTCCTGCCTGAGCTGCAATGTCAATGTCCAAAAAATTCTCATCCGCCCCCGAGTCCACTAAGGCGAGCAGGGGTAGGGACTGTTGGTTGCAGCAAAGCATGGCTTCTAGCTGTGTTCTGGGTCGGGGGTTGAGAGAGGAGGAAGGGCTCGCCAGAATCCCCACAGCTACTGACGAGCCTGACCTTTTGGCAGACTAGGACAGGAGGAAACGAGATGACTGGTTTGGCTGCAATAAACACATTCCCCAGCATGGATCCTTCTAGCAAGCTCAGATGGTGGGAGGCGGGCCCTTCCCACTTGCATGGGCTCCTCTCCATGGGATGAGGCTGAGTAAGGAGTCGGGAAAGATCGGGGAATAGGGGTAGTGGCAGTTCCAATTTGGGGATCAAGTGAGAAGTCACTGGGATTGGAGTGACGGCTAGTCCTATCCCTACGTCTCTCTCTGAGGCGATTATCAATCTTAATGGCTGTGGCAATTAAATTATCCAAGCTACCTGGATCATCCCTAGCCGCTAGCTCGTCTTTAATTGCTTCGTTCAGCCCCTGAAGAAAAGCATCCTGTAGTGACTCATTATTCCAGCGTGAGTCGGAAGCCACTGTTCTAAACTCCACTGAAAATTCGGCTACACTACGGGAGCCCTGCCGGAGAGAAAGAAGGCGCCTAGCAGCATCCCTCCCCCGTACCGGGTGATCAAAAACTTTTTTCATTTCGGAAATGAAAGTATCATATGACCAGCAAATGTGTGGCTGGCTCTCCCTAACAGCTGTAGCCCAATCTAAAGCCCTCCCCCTCAACAGGCTCATTACATATGCTACCCTAGCCCCATCTGTGTGATAAGTACTAGGCTGCTGCTCAAAAACTAACGTACACTGGAACAAAAAGGCTCTACAATTACCCAAATCTCCAGCGTATCGTTCAGGTGTGGGAATGACAGCCTCTCGTAGCTGATGGAGGAGTGCGGCAGGAGGGGGGGGGAGGGGCTGTCTGCTGTGCAGCGTGCTGCGGAGGAAAAGCCTGTGAAGTGAGCAGTTCTACCTGCGTGCCGATCCTTTGCACATTAACGGAGAGGTTCCGGAGAGTCTCCAATGCCTCACGGAGAACTGCATCATGATGCCCCACGAGAGTGCCTTGACTGGCCAGGGCTTGGCAGAGTTCGTCCGTAGTTTTGGCCTGGTAGCCGGTGTCCGCTGGGTCCATACTGGCCAGATCGTTCTGTTACGGTTATCTGAGAGAACCCAAATGCAGGACACGGCAGTGTGTTACAAAGGTTTTATTTGGAGGAGATAATCCGGCTGGACAGTATCCACTGGAGCGTAATCCACTGAAGAGTATCCTCCGGAGTTTTAATCCACTGGAACGTAATCCACTGAAGCGTAATCCTGGAGCACAAGAAGAACAGGTAAGAATATATTCAGGTGTAGCGAAAATAGTCACTATACTTTAAGAAGGCTGAGAAGGCTAAGAGTTTTACCACTGGGGTTTAACAACGATCTGGCGCTGACAGGTTGTGGAGCTTCCGCTGATATACCATCCGTAATGGCTGATGGGAATCAGGTGTGTCGCAGAGGAGAGTGCTCAACTGTTTGCAGCTGGTGGAGATTTGAGCCGGGAGCCAGGAGTGACAGGCACCACGCCCACACAGACAGGGAAAGGGAACACACACACACACAAGGAAGGTGGCTGGAGAATGCAACCACCACAACCTCGCGCTGCCCCAGCCTTACCAGCAATGCAGAAGATGGTCACAGACAACGAGTGTTTTTAGACCATCTCGTTTTTAATAGAGATGGCGGTGGTGTGAGTTAAAGCTTATAGACAAAAAGGCTGTGACTTTCTTCCTCTCAGCTGCACGGCTGCAGCCACCCAAACACGGGCAGGGCTGCTTCTGCAGCCCTGCTCGCAGAGGCAATGGAGGGAAATATCTCCGGCTGCTTATTTTTAACTGCTGTGTTGGCCGCTGAAACCCCCAGAATTCGGCGATTTGTTCAATACAAATCTTTACATTGCTTTTAAACAGAAGTTCCACTTTACTGATACCTTTCTTGAAGGTCACTCTGAACATGAGCTGTGCGTGCTTGTATGGCACTTCCGTCCCGAGCAGCACACACAGAGGAAATCAGCCAGGACTGAGTCCCCAGACACTGATTCCCTGGGTTTATTGATCCCCAAATGTTCATTAACCAAAACGAAATACAGCCACTCAGCTTCACAGATAATTTTAGGATACCGTCAATCACAGATTCTGGTAAGGCAATGTCCAAATGTGGATTTGAAATTACACTTACCAGTCTCTGAAGATATGTTGGTATCCTGCCGACAACGCCAATTTGTGGAGGAAACTTCTGTGTAGCAATGCATTGGGAGTCACCGACTCATGAAGGAGACACGGGACGAGCAGGAGTTCTGATGTCAAACACTGGGATTTAATACAAGCATCGGCCGGAGAAATTCACATCACAAGTCACACAGTCAAAGGTTCTGACTGCACGGGTGGTTTGCCATGTCAAATCTGGTCAGCCTCGCATCTTGGTAGACCATTTAACCAGTTTACAGAGAGTCAACCCACATATTGGGGGAAGGTATCTGTGAACACCTGGAGGCACTGAATCACTTTATCTGACTCTATGGCTCTTGTGCCCGAGAGTTGACCGGTCATAAAACTGATAATGGCAGCAATAGCTGACACTTCCCATTCCTTAAGACAGATAACAGACTTCGGCTTTGTCGTAAATGTCAACAGGCCGAAAGGTCAAATATCTTAAGTAAAGACAAAATTAATCCCTCACAATTGGTACATTGCCAATGTAGCAAATGTAAAAAAGGGATAAAAAAACGTATGCTCACAACTTGGCTTTATACCAGATACCCATGTCATTGTCAAAATATGCATGTATTGAATTGATCCGATCAGATGAAAAATGAAAAAAGTCCGTTTTTGCCCTCTTGACTTTAGTAATTTGCTAACTTTTCTAACCTCCTGCACTGATTCACTTAAGATGGACAGAGTGGTTTTTCCTTCTCTGAAGGGATCCGCCTGAAAAACCTCCCAGAAAGGGCCATTGGCTATTACCAACGATGTGGGACACTAGGGCAAAACTAAGGCAACATATGCTTACCAACATCCCAATACCATCTTGGTGTGCCGGGTCCTTAACTCTTCTCTAGTCCTTCCATATTTCTAAGCTCAAGACAGTTTTCTCCCAGGAAGTGTCTACAAAACACTTCTATACTTAGACTGTGCCCTTTGGTATATCTGCCCTGTAGAGCAAGACTTTGCCTTTAGCCTTCAGTATCTTTGTTCTTTATTTGCACTCCTTTCCTTCCTATTTTTCTCTGTCTGTCTGTGCAGGTGACCTCTATTCTCTTTTGTCAAAGCTGCTAGGCCAGAGCAAGGGGGTAGTTCACAGTCATAAGTATAACCCCAGCAAGATGGAAAGACCCCAGCCTGACTCTGTGGCTCAGTTTAATAACTTATTGCAAATAGCCTTCCACACCAGGGAGGATCCTGTTTTGGTGAGGGACAGAGTCCACAAATTGCATCAGCTTGAGGCCATGGCCAAGCCACAAAGAAGCAAGCTTCTAGCTGAAGGTGGGTTCTCAATATTATGTAATAGTTGTCAATGATGCTTAGATCATACCCCTTTATTTCTGTGTTCGGTTCAGTATCCTTAAAGCATAATACACACAAAGTACACTTTTTCAGTTTTTCCTTCGGATAAATACTTCATTATTTGTAAATGTATTTTCCTAAAGCAAGACATATTTGCATGTGCATCCAACATATAGTTGTGAACCCTCTTTTTTTACATGTGCAATCTCTTAACTTGTTGTATCTTAAGAGTGTGATTTGCTTAACCCAATACCTGTACGATCCTAAACTGCCAACCTTTTTTTGTCAAAGAAACCTTTTGCCATGGTGGGGAAGACATGATTACAGTAGCTTTACATGAAATGTACAATGTGTCATCTACACTTAATAAACAGCAGCATAATGTATAAGTTGTACATTATCTTTAGCCGGAAAGTTGACACAGGAAGTGATATTTAACTCCTTGAGGCAATGTCAGATATTTATGAACGTGAAAGTTGTGTTTGCCGACCTTTATTAACACCACTAAAGCTGGAAATCCTGCAAAATGACGTGCAGGTTCATGTTTTATTTTAAATGTATCATGTTGCTGTGCCCTACATAAATCATGTCAACAAATGGTCTCCTGTCCTTGCATCTATAAACCTGTTCATTGTATGATACAATGTGTATGCATGGTATCAGTGAGACAAGGTGCCTGTGAAGAGCAAGAGAGAAGGATACTAACAAACAGGTCCCACTACAGGTAAAGTCTTGGGACCCTGTTTACTTCTGGTCGGACCACCAGACTACAGTACAGCTAACTTCCTCCGGCTGAGAGTCAGCCACTCCTCCTCCACACTCCATATGTTATAGCTAATGTGCATTAACAAGGCAGAAATATTAATTCAGGGTTTTGTTAGCAAATTGAACTAACTGTGACAAGTTTTGCCTGCATATCATTTCAGCAGCCTTATCCTAACTGTATAAGTACCCTCACTTCCTGATATCACATCTGGAGCTTTCCAGATGTGAAAGCTGATAAAACAACCCAATGCTTTTTAGGAAGATATTTTATCACAGCTACTTTAAAAGACTGTAGTACATACAGTAGTACTTGGTCTGTGAAAAGTTGCATTGTGTCTTGCTGTGTTCTGAAGGTGATTTTAAAAGTGTTTAAAAACAGATTACATACAAATCTGCAGGATCATTTTTTTGTTCCAAACTGGAGGTATATCAGGCAGACAGGTTTGAAAGAGATGTGTGTGTGTGTGTGTGTGTGTGTGTGTGTGTGTGTGTGTGTGTGTGTGTGTGTGTGTGTGTGTGTGTGTGTGTGTGTGTGTGTGTGGTGTGTGTGTGTGTGTGTGTGTGTGTGTGTGTTGTGTGTGTGTGTGTGTGTTGTGTGTGTGTGTGTGTGTGCGTGTGCATGTGCATGCGTGCGTTATAGACTACCACTTGGAGCAGGTGGGAGGCTGGCCCCTGGATTCTCTGCAGGTGGGTCAGGTGTCAGGACTGGCCCTCGACTCAGATTCTAACCTGGTGATTTTCCACAGAGGAGACCATCACTGGGGGGCAGAGTAAGTCACTTTCATTTTTTGATATACATATTTTTCTGTTCATAGATGACTTTTGTCAGTCCTAAACCTCATACCTCAATGTTTATAATTAGAGAGAGAGAGCTCACTACCACCACCATGTTCAGCTTTCCATCAATGGACATCACAGGCAGACAGATCTGCTTTGTATTATATCCCACATTTCCCCCATGTTAAGGCCTGTAGCCAATGTAGGGCAAAGGTACCTCAAAATGTGCTTTTAGAGAGTGACTGCCAGTCTTGCCAGGACCTATACTGTAGACAAAAATTACCATAAGAAGATCTTAAAGGTTACCTATTATGCTATATTTGAGCAATATATTATAGGGCCATATCTATACAAAACATGTCTCTGAAGTGTTTTTCTCAAAATACCAAACAGATCACCCATTGTAGCATCCCTCATAACCCTCCATTTAAGCCCTGTTACTAAAGTGCTGATTCTGGGTCTGGCCCTTTAAATGTAACCAAGCTGCTGCTGGCCACGCCCCTTTGGAGCATCCACATGCAAGCAGTGAGCTCTGTGAGGAGAAGGCTGTCTACCAGCAGAAACTCAGCTAAACGCTGCCCTGATTAAACGGCATATTATGTTCCAAACCAAATCAAGCATTATTTCTGCTGTATGAGGCAATGTAAAGCCAGCCCACGTTTTAGTAATGATGTCAAGTTCTCAACAAATATGGATCAGCTCCGTTGTAACCCCGTTTTAAGAGATTTAGGTAAGGAGGAAAAGAGAGAGGGTTTTATTTTCTGACATTTTGTGAGTCTCCTTACACACCAGGGACACATATTTATGTATAAAAGACATCAAAAAGTGCATTTTGCATAATAGGTGACCTTTAATGTTGAATAACACACTGTCATAGCAATTATACATTAATTGGTTCACAAATTGCCTTTGCTACTGGTCTGCTTAGAAACACAAAACCGTTTGTTCCAGCTCTTTTAACAGCCAGGCTAGATACCAGCAGAGGTCCGTGGGTCCTATTCAGCAGTCCACTATCTTGGTTGTGGACCCAATCAAAGGCACCATCTTGAAGGCTTCTGGCAGAGACATGTGAGTCATTGTTTTCTCTATGATGACGAATGAAGGCAAGTGATGAGTATGAACAGGCAACCATGTACAGTATATTTGGTACTTCCTGCATTAAACCTGAGTCAGAACTTGCATTGATTCACATCTCTGATGTTGCAGGTTCTACTTGCCTCACGGAATAACTACAGACAAGAATAATAACTACTGGGTCACAGATGTGGCTCTTCATCAGGTAATATGCAAGATTTATTTGAGCCCAACTTACTAAGTTCCATTCGTAAATCATTTATGATTTGTATTGATAATTGGATGTAAAATAAAATAAAAAATAACGTATCTATGCCACAATTTTAGATGCAGATTTGTTTAAACTAATACGTTTGCGCTGTGGACCAACACTATAAATTGACGGGGAAGGGGGTAGCAATAAAGATAACACCATTAAACAGTTACACAACATAACAGAAATAATATTGATAGCAGCGTCCCTAGCAACCACCTTGGTAACAACAGAACAGACGATTGGGGTTGCTGGAGCCAGACTGAATGAGTTGTGAGTAGTAATTAGACCGGGCTGCTTTGAGTGCGTTACTGTACTGCTGGAGATAGTCTTTGTAGATTTGTAGATGGACTGTTAGTGTGGTTTTCTTGTGTTGGCGTTCCAGTTGACGTTTCCTTGATTTCATTTGGCGGAGTTCGGGGGTATACCAGTATGTTTTTGTGGGGGCCAGTTCATTGAGACAGAAGGAGAGGGTGATGTTATAATAGTCAACAAATTCAGATGGGTTTTCAGAAAGTGGGGGGGGGGGGACAGACCTCTTGCAGGTAATGGAGGCAGTGATTGCTGAAGGTCAGATGGATTTGAGATTTCTGTAGGTTATTGTGCGTTTTTGCTTTTGGGCGGGGATGGGGATGTTGATGTCCATGATGTCGGCCAGGTGATCAGAGATGTGGAGATTGAGGCTGGACAGATGATGGATGGTGAGACCAGTGTAGCAGACCAAGTCCAGGATGTGACCAGGGCTGTGTGTTGGGAAGTTAATGTGTTGAGAGAAGTTGCAGCAGTGAAGGGTTTCCATAAATTCAGAGGCATATTTGCAGGTCGGGTCGTCAACATGAATGTTAAAATCACCTAGGAGGAGAACAGATGGGGATATGGCAGAAAGCTGAGTGAGAATGTCAGAGAGGTCAGAGAGAAAGGAGGGGTTTGGCTTCGGTGGACGGTGAATGATGGCTGTGACCAGAGAGTTTGAATATCAGGTGTTCAAATGAAGAAACATTGGGGATGGGGATTATGGTAGTTTGTATGTTCTTTCTGATAATAGCAGCTATACCACCACCCCGCCCTTCTGGGCAAGGTTTGTCAATGTATGTGAATCCTGCTGGGGTGATTTGATTTAAAGAAAAATAGTCCAGGGGTTTTTGCCACGTTTCGGTCAGACACAGAAAGTCCAGGTTATTGTCTTTAATGAATTCATTCAGAATGTGGCTTTTATTGTGGATGGAGCGTGTGTTGAGCAGGGCTGCTCTGAGGTGACATTGCATTGGGAGGGGTTGTGTGAACCAGGGGAGTGGAAGGAGATTGGTCAGATTCACGTGTTCTTTGTTGTGATGGCGTAGTGTGGGCGTGCGACAAAGAGCACTGATCTAGGTTTACTGTAACCGTCACAGTCTGTTCACAGTTTTTGTTCCAATAGCTAGTCCTTAAACACTGCTGTTCCTGTTAGTGTTTACTTCATGGACCTTTCCCATTTATCTAATTTCCCCTCCTCGAGGTTCAAGTGCTTCATTTTAGCTTTTGAGAACCACAAGAGCTTTGCCTTTCCAACATTTAAAACAAGTTTCAAATCACATAGGTTAGATTGTACAATGTTAAAAGCAGTCTAGATCTGACAAAGAGCCTGATTCGGTGTGGACGCAGAACAGTAAATTACTGTATTATCAGCATATAAAGGAACATTTGCAAGACTGTTTATATACATAATAAATAACAATGGTCCTAAAACCGATCCCTGTGGCACACCCTTGGATACATGAAGAGATGTAGAAGTTAAGCCTTCTGCCCGCACACACTGATCTGCATGAACAGACTGCCGATCTGAAAGACCGATACTAAGGAGTCTTTGTGACAGTATGGCATGATCCACTGTATTAAAAGCCTTTGACAAGTCAATAAAAAGTGCTTCACAGTGCTATCTATTTTCTAAGAAATGTATAAAATAATGTACTACTTTTAAGGTGGCTGTTGTTTGAACTGAGTCCTCCTTGACAATACAATGTGGAAGCTTAATAACATTTTTGTTTCCGGCTAATGATTTGATTTGATTGTTGTCCAGAATTTAAGGGGATTATTTCAATTGTTTGAAGTTTCAGTTAGGAGATGATCAGCTTTGGCTTTTCTGATTTTGACAGTACATGCATTTCTCAGCTGCCTGAGGAGCAGCCAATCTGACCCAAGACCTGTACTCCTGCTTTTTGACCATGCCACATTGCGCTAGTGTAGTAAATCAGAAAGATCTGATGTGAACCATGCCTTATATCTGCCTTTGATTTCAGAATCAAACAAGTATCAGAGCGCTCACATGATAACGTAACGCTATCAGTGATTGGATATCATTCCCTCTCCTCTCTCTGGTCGCTTCAATGGGGACATTCAATTACAGGCCAAACACAGACCTACACAATGCAGTGTTTCCCCTAGGTTTACTGCTTTGGGGGAGGGGGGATGGCATTGTGATATATATTTTGTAAATCCTCCGGAGCAGAGAGGAGCTCTGGATTATTGTTATTGATTAATGCATCAGTGTTTCTTAGGGTCAAAAACACTAAACTCACAACTTAAAATGAAAGCGTTAGTTTATTTAATAAAATAGCACATGTTCAATGTGAAAAGTGACAGTAGATATAGATTAGTTGCTATTTGGTGCTATATATATATATATATATTAAAAAATAAATAAATACAACTTTTTTTTTGTTGAAACACCTTGAATTTTAGGGGGGGCGCGGGGCTCCGTTGGCGGGGCTCCGTTGGCGGGGCGCAGCGCCCCTCCAAGACAATGGTAGGGGATACACTGCAATGTGCAACACACACCTACACACTCTTCAACACACCCCTACTGCTCCTACAGCATATAATATATATCAGGCTACAGCTGTTGTGTATTTTATTATGTGAAGCACTATAGAGTTTTATGAAAACGATCTACTCTTTATTTGTAGTTTTCTACTAAAGCCTACAAATAAAGAGTGTTATTTAGGCCCGTTATATATATACTGAGTGATATATATTATACACACTGCTCTGCTTTCTGCACTGACCTCAGCAGCTATTCTCACTGTAAACATTACATTGCATTTAGCTGACGCTTGTATCCAAAGCGACTTACAATAAGTGCATTGGACCAAGAATATACAAACTTGAAGAAAACAGAATCATATAGGTACATCAGGTTTCATAGAGCCAAAACATTTCAAGTGCTACTCAACTGACTATAGATAAGCCAGTCCTTTATTAGTATATAAGTGCTTTGTTAGTAATTCTTTGTTAGTAATTCTATCGCTCGAAGTCGAAAGAGATGAGTTTTCAGTCTGCGCCGGAAGATGTGTAGGCTTTTTGCTGTCCTGATTTCAATGGGGAGCGCATTCCACCATTTTGGAGCCAGGATAGCAAACCGATGTGTTTTAGCTGATGGGAACTTGGATCCCCCTCGCAGTGCGGGTGCAGCGAGCCGTTTGGCTGATGCAGAGCAGAGTGCACGTGCTGGGGTGTACAGTTTAACCATGTCCTGGATGTAGGAAGGGCCAGATCCATTTGCAGCATGGTACGCAAATAACATTGTCTTGAAGTGGATTCTAGCAGTTACTGGAAGCCAGTGAAGTGAGCGGAGGAACGGCGTGGTGTGGGAAAATGTAGGAAGGTTGAAGACCAGACGAGCCGCTGCATTCTGGATGAGCTGCAGAGGTCGGATGGCACATGCAGGTAGACCAGCCAGGAGGGAGTTGCAGTAGTCTAGGTGTGAGATGACGAGAACCTGGACCAGAAGTTGTGTCGCTTTCTGGGTCAGGAGGGGACGTATCCTCCTGATGTTGTAAAGACTGTATCTGCAGCAGCGGGTTGTAGCAGCGATGTTTGCAGTGAAGGACAGGTTGTTATCTAGGGTCACACCCAGATACCTTGCAGTCTGAGTCGGGGAAACAATAGAGGTGCCGATGTTGATTGTTAGGTCAAGAGTGGGACAATCTTTTCCCGGAAGGAAAAGCAGTTCAGTCTTGTCAAGGTTGAGCTTGAGGTGGTGAGCAGACATCCACTGAGAGATGTCAGCTAGACAAGCAGAGATGCGTGCGACGACCTGGGTCTCTGAGCGGGGAAAGGACAGAATGAATTGGGTGTCGTCAGCGTAGCAGTGGTATAAAAAACCATGCGGGCTAATGACTGATCCGAGCAAGTTTGTGTACAGGGAGAAGAGGAGGGGACCGAGAACAGAGCCCTGAGGGACCCCTGTAGTTAATTGACAAGGGTCAGACTCGGACCCTCTCCAAGTTACCCTGTAGGTGCGGTCTTCGAAGTATGAGGTGAGGAGGGAAAGTGCATAGCCTGAAACTCCAAGTTCTTGGAGAGTGTGAGGGAGGATCTGATGATTCACCGTGTCGAATGCAGCAGACAGGTCCAACAGGATTATGACAGAGGAGAGGGAGGCTGCGTTAGCCGTGTGCAGTTCCTCAGAGACAGCGAGGAGGGCAGTTTCTGTTGAGTGACCTGCCTTGAAACCAGGCTGGTGCGGATCCAGAAGGTTGTTCTGATGGAGATAACAGGAGAGTTGTTTAAAGACAGCGCGTTCAAGTGTTTTAGACAAGAATGGGAGGAGAGAGACAGGCCTGTAGTTTATAACATTGGACGGGTTGAGAGTGAGTTTCTTTAGGAGAGGGTTTACTCTTGCCTCCTTGAGACTGTTTGGAAAGTGACCAGAAGTTAGAGAAGTGTTGATGAAATGGGTGAGAAACAGTAGAATATCAGGAGCGATAGTCTGAAGGAGGTTTGAGGGGATAGGGTCCAGAGGACAAGTGGTAGGACGGGCAGAGGTAATGAGGGTAAGAACCTCACTTGGAGAGAGAGGGGAAAAGGAGGTCAGTGTGTGGGTGAAAGGTGGGTCTGGTGACCCAGCGGTGAGTATAGGTGAGTCAGAAAAAGAAGAGTGAATGTCATCAACCTTTTTTTCAAAGTAGTTAACAAAGTCGCTTGACAGAAGGGAGGAGGGGGAAGGGGCTTTGGGGGGTTCTAAGAGGGTGGAAAATATGTAAAATTGTTTTTTGGAATAAGAAGATTGGATCTTATCTTGAAAGAAAGTGCTTTTTGCCTGAGAGATCAAAGCAGAGAAAGAGGAGTGCCTGATAGGTTAGGAGGCCGTCATGGTGTTTGGATTTCCAAACGAGCCTACCGAACTGACGAGCCTACCGAAATGTGATAGGACAGAGAGAGTCCAGAAAGGATGAGAGAGTAGAGAGGAGAGTTTCTGCAGCAGAATTTGGAGGCAGGAGTTGGAACGAGTTAGACGAAGGGAGGGCTGAGAGCACCGATGAGGTCAGAGTAGAGGGTAGGGTTGGGAACCGAAACTCAGTTCCAGATGAGAACCGATAAGAAAATGCCGGGTACCGGGTACCCATACAAAATACACAATTTCGGTTCTGCTTAACGGTTCCTAAACGCGGTAGACCCTGTATTCCAGCAGGTCCGTCTGCACCGCGGTGACCCGGTGGAATACAGGGCGGACCTGGAGAATCACAGAACGGCCGGTCGTCAGCGGGCCGTTGACGGCCGGCTCTGTACGCTGACGGCCGGCACAACCCTTAATTTTTTTAAACGGCATCATGTAAGTTGCGCTGACAGGCGACAGACGCCCTCCCGTAGACATTTCACAAGCTCAGTCACTTCATAACACCAAAGATGGGTCGCGGTAAACGCTCTGAAGTGAGGCTCCACTACACTAAGAAAGAAAAAGACAAGGCACAGTGTAATGCCTGTTAATAGCTTGCCACAGGCATAGCTCAGTTAAAATAAAGCACAGCTATTGTGCAATACATTTGTATTGCATGTATATTTTTTATTTGTAACAATTTCAGTTAAAGCTTAAAATAATAAAGATATTTTTGTTATCTAAACGTTTGACCTCTTTCTTTTACAATTTTGGAATCGAAACGGGGTATCGATAAGAACCGGAATCGATAAGCAGAACCGGAATCGGAATCGATACATTTCAAACGATACTAAAGCTGAACGATTAATCGATTTTAAATAAACTTACAATGGGTCGCTTAAAAACAAATATCGCAATTCAAATTGCAATATTTGTCAGAAAAATCGCAATTAGATTTTTTCCCAAAATCGTGCAGCCCGAAACGATACCCATCCCTAGTAGAGGGGAAGAGGGAACAAAAGTTACGGCGGACAGGTGCAGAATGAGAAGAGATTAGTTTGTTATGTTTGGAAAGGGGTAGAGAGAATGAAATAAAGAAGTGATCCGAGGTGTGGAGCGGGTTTACAGAGAGGTTAGAAGTAGAGCAGTTCCTTGAGAATATGAGATCAAGGACATTGCCAGCTTTATGAGTCGGTGGGGAAGGAGAAAGTGAGAAAGCAAAGGCGGTTAACAGAGATGTTAGTTCGTCTATCTTCCCCGTCTGGAGGTTGAAGTCTCCGAGAAGTACAGCGGGAGGGCCAGTTTCAGGGATGTGTGAGAGGAGATGATCTAATTCCTCCAAGAAGTCCCCCAAGGCGCCTGGTGGACGGTAGAGAACAACAAGGGTTAATTGTATAGGATGGGTTACTGTGACGGCATGGAATTCAAAGGTGGAAAGAGTGAAGTTAGGTAGCTTGAAGAGGGAAAAGCTCCATTTGGGAGAGAGCAGGAGACCAGTGCCACCTCCTCTGCCAGTGGGTCTGGGTGTATGGGAGAAGGAATATGCTGTGGAGAGAGCTGCTGGGGTGGATGTGTTGAATGGAGTAATCCAGGTCTCAGTGAGAGCAAGGAAATCCAGAGACTGCAGGGAAGCGTAGACAAACATTGCGTCACCATTAAAGCAGTTCATAAAATAAAGAAAGTAGCCTAATATCCAGGAGAGATGTGATTAGTGAGTAAACAAACGGTAAAGGGCATAACACTTGAAGCACATTTGATCATCTTAAATAACTTATAATCACAACGGGAACAGTTTGCAGAGCTGTCATTGGATGAGATCAGTCCAGCCGTGCGTCACGCCTCTTTTAAACATCACTGTTGCCGGAAATACATCCCCGGAGGATACATCAGTGTATCCTCAGTTATAGCTCCTCCAGAGAGCCTCCTCTCTCCTCTCCTCTACATCAGTGTATCCTTGGTTATAGCTCCTCCAGAGAGCCTCCTCCTGCATCTAGTCCCTTATTCAAAGTAATTTTAGCAGGGGAAAGGCAGAATAAAACACAATCAAGTATTCAACTACCATACACTAAGAGTCATTCGTAAGCAGAAGGTCTATATTCAGAATAGATTGAACACACAGATTGAATCTATGCATACATAATGAACCTGGAACCCTTCTGTACACTCACCAGGTGGTAAAGGTGAGCAGCGATGGCAGAGATAGAACAGTGCTGGCATTAGGAGAGGCTTTCACACCAGGCAGTGACAGCAGCCACTTCTGCCAGCCCACCGACGTGGCTGTGGACGGAGACACTGGAAACATCTTTGTGTCTGATGGCTACTGCAACGCCAGGATCCTCAAGTTCTCTGCTGATGGCCGATACTTGTCTGAGTGGGGTGCAGGTAGGAAACTGGCTCAATATTGTAGACAGTTCAAACATAGCAAAACAGTTGAACTTGTGGATGCATCACAGGGACACAGCACAGGGAATCACACTCTCAAGTTGTATCCGCCCATACACATAGCACAGAGGCACAGCAGCCGCTTCTCCTTCCTATTCACCCAGCCCACAATACATTTGAAAAATTAGAACATCTGAGCCTCCTTCCATCCACAGATCATTTTCACAGCTAGACACAACAGCTCATTTGATTCGATAGAAACATTTGTTCCTTCAACATTAAGACACAACAGAGTACAACAGCCCAAATAGCTGGCTATAATTACAAAACAAAACAAAAAAAGTTTTCAATAAAGAAGGCTCATTTACTGACATTTACCTGAGCAAAATTCACCATGTTTAAAACAAGACATTTAGAGTAAGACATTTGGGCTCCTACTAGGGCTGTAGCAATTCACTAATCTCACGATACGATACGATACACGATATTCAGCTCACAATACGATATATATCACGATATTCAGCCAACGATACGATTCGATACGATTCGATATAATTCGATACACTTATATAATTTTCTGAAAGATTTTAAAGGGACAGTGTGATTTTGGTGACATCTTGTGAGTGTTCCATTGACTTGGATTGAATACATTCAACTGAAAACTGAAAGCATCAATTATACAATATATGGCTCTGACAGAGAGTCTACAGCTTGCAAATGCTGGACAAAATGAATCAAAAGATGTGGTGAGAAAATTAGTTTCATTTATTGAAACAGTGCAAACTGTAGCTTACAAGCCTTTGAAACGTAAGTACATAAAGTGCAGTATCACAATGGACAATGGAGAATTAAAAGGTGCAGCAGGTGGCGGAACACGGGGGATTTGAATGGGACTTGTTAGAAATTAAAATCAATGTTTTGATGGCATAAAGTACCTTAAACATACCGTCAGTTTAAATGCTGTTTTATACTGAAAAACCAGAAGTTCTTGTGCACAACCAGTTGTTAAGCTTTTATTCTGAAAATCCTTCATCCCCGGTTAGCATTTAGCATGTGGCTAATATACCATTTACTATAGAGGTGAATTTAGTAGCGATATGACACGAAGTGTTGCACACCGAAACCTACTGATTTCAACACTACAACTATAGACGTCGAGATATTATTATTGCTGAATATTAAATGAAGGTAGTTTATTTGAATACGTTTGTTTACAGACGTGGGTAGCATGAGACAACATCCAGAACTACCGGAAATTATACCAGCCGTGAGGTATTTTTGGAGTATTGATTACAGCGTTTAAAATGTATTAACTAAAAACTCATGAAAGAGATAAGGAGGAGAAAAGGCGTGTTTAGTTATATATTTAATGTACAATGTCTGAATCCTCTGTAATGCGCAACAACGAACATTGGAGACGTGGAGGGCCGGCCCCCAGCAGCGCCAACCGGCCCACAGGGAGGAGCCAGCAGAGGATATTTAACAGCTGGAAAGGTGGAGCTCGCTCTCTTCCCTTCGCTCACGAGAGCCAGAACACAGTTTGTTTTTCTGACTGAACCATCTTCTGCTTGTAACATTACCGCGCTTTTTATTAATTAAAGTATACATTTGAACCTTCTCAGAGACTCAATTAGTCTCCTTTTTAAAGCTTCTCTCCTGGACGCGAGAATAACGAACACAGTTATCAGACTTAATGTATCAATCATTGATTGATTGATACCCGCGGCTGAAATATCGATACTTCTCGGAAAACTAAATATCGATATATATCGCAGGATCGATTAAATTGCACAGCACTAGCTCCTACACACATATTCACCCATAGTGCTAAATATTTTAAAGCAGGGTTCTCATTCATAACATTCGTTTCGATGTCTCACTATGGGATGTGCCTCCCCGCGTATGCCTCAGAAGCATCAATCTCATTACGCCAATCCTGATTGGCTGGTGATCTTGACGACTACGTCAGGGAATCCACCCACCCTTTAAGTAGCTTACGCTACGACGCAGCATCATTCAAACACCTCTTCTCGCTTCGGAGCACATCTCTAAATTATCAGTAGCCTGGCTAGCTTAACTGTCCATAGACTGAACTACTCTAAGCTAACTTTCGGTCGCCGGACGCTTGCCGGCTACACTTGCATAGATTTGAATATTAACACACCAGTTAATACTCGATTCTTCCCCGCCGTTTTTTAACGGTAAGGTTTTTGATTATTGAACAGTACCAGTACCAATACCAGTTATTGTTCCGTCCCTCCAAGTCGGCACTCTATCGAGGATGGACCCTTCTCTCCCTCACACCAGAGGAGACGGAGGCTCTGAGGCTCGACTTTGCGGCTGCGGGTATTAGGGGTGTAACGGTTCACAGAATTCACGGTTCGGTATGTACCTCGGTTTGGGGGTCACGGTTCGGTACGGGTTCGGTACAACAAGAAAAAGCAAAAAAAATCCCAAATGAATAATTCCAGGTTTGTTTTTTATTTATTTTGAACAGTAGTGCAAGTTTCATTATACAAATAAGGAACTATAATTTTTGAATAATTAACTGTATTACACAGTTAAAAACAAACCACAAGCAGTGCCACACACACTCAGATGGCCATATTATCTATAATGGCTGATGGGTTCAATAAGCTGTAAAACAAAACTAAATGTCTTGAAAATATTACAAAATAAATAATAAATGTGTTCGTTTTGTTGTGTTCTTCTTCATTTGTTGTTTAAGGGCGGCTGGCAAGCAGCTTTTAGGCGCAATACCGCCCCCCTGGATTATATATAGTCTAGTGGATACTGCCCTGAATGACAGACTTTTTTCCCACTCGTAAAAAAAAGGCTACCGTTACACCCCTAGCGGGTATAAAATATCGAGCATGGACTCACACCAGGTCTGCTCGTCCTGCCTTGGGCTGGAACATGCCCGGAAAGCTATCAACGCCCCCGGTTCGTGCGGACACTGTGCCCGCTTCACCGTCAAGAGCCTCCGCCGACGGCTAGCACGCCAAGGTAGCCTGTCGGGACGAGACCCTTTCATGTCTAGCGATATGCCGGCCGGCACCCGATACATGGGGCCAAGGACGAACTGGCCAAGGAAGTCCCCGGCCCCGACAGCAGGTGCACAGCTGGCCCAGACTTTCGGTCATCAAGTGAGGAAGAAGAAGAGAGTGGCCTGACAGCCTTCCCTCCTCTCCTCGGTGGAAGAGCTGGAAGTTTCCTGTTCTCCAGCCCCACCTGTTCTGCGTTGGAATGTGCTTCTGGAGGCCACCCATGCCCCCGACTCTCCGTCATTTCGTGTGATGTCCAAATAACATCCCCAGGTTCGCGCCATGAGGAAGGTGGACTTTATGTTGGAGACAGCAGATTCTGCTGCCGTTTAAGTCACACAAGCACATGTCCACGTTCTTTAATAAAGCATATTTCACTGTCGTTTTCAGGCTTGAAGCCAAGGATGCATTCGAAAATAATGGCAAGAAAAATAATAAGCAGTCAGGTGACCGTGCCCCTTCTGAGGGGGGCTGTCGCCTCCCTCAGCAAGCGGACGGTAACCGAGTCTGTCAATGCACCTCGTGCATGCGCAGTGTCGGCCGAGGTTGTCAGTCAGGGGTGCAATCGTCTTCCTGGGTTTATGCCTAAATTCAGTGTCCTTCACAGCCCGCCTGTCAGCGGAGAGAGTGAAAGCCTTCAGGGCTTGCCTCGCTCATTTCCGGCCACGCAAATATGTTCTCTTCAGATCATGTCTGTGGTTGCTGGGGCTCATGGTGTCAGCCATCCTGGTGCTACGACTAGGGACACATGAGGGATTTTCAGCGCTGGGTAGCTGCCCTCAGACTGGACCCCGCCCGTCATGGCGCACGGAGAGTGATGGTCACTGTTGAATGCGTAATGGCACTGAGCCACTGGCTGCACCCGGATTTCCTGGTACGGGGCGTGCCTATGGGTGCTGTCCTATGACGGAAAGTTGTCACCACAGACGCATTTCTCTCGGGCTGGGGGGGTATAAACGAAGGTCGACCTGTGAGGGGTCTCTGGAACAGAGATCTCCAGCGGTTACATATAAACTATCTGGAGCTTTTAGCGGTGTTTCTCACCCTAAAACGCTTTCTGCCTTTTCTCAAAGGACATCATGTCCTCGTGAGGACAGACAACACGACCACAGTATCGTATATAAACCGTCAAGGGGGTTTGCGTTCTCTTCAGTTACACATGCTGGCACACAAACTGATACTATGGAGCTGTGGCCGTCTCCTTTCTCTGAGAGCAACGCACGCAACAGAATCTCACTCCCTAAACGTCCAGCTTGGTCAGGGTCCCGTGGCGTGCAGTTGGGACGCGCCGTGGCTCCTTCAGCTTCATAAACGGACGCAAAGAGCTTTCAACTGATTGCAATGTATTTCCATCGGCGGCGGTATTTGACGCTCATGGAAGCACCGCATCTGTTTATGTCGGCGGCTGTTAAAGGCAATGTGCGTCCATTCCCATTGGATAACGGAAAATTGTACACCTGGAAGTAAGTATTCTCCTTACTGTCGATTGATTTGACAGTGATATCTCCACTACTCATCAACTCAAAAACACCAGATTATCTTTGTTAATTAAACGACATTGATAGGTTTAAATTGTGTACAATGTTTTTGTGTTTTTCCCCTTCAATTCTGAGAAACGTATTTTCTCCCACGTTACGTTTGTGTTGAACGTATCTCAAATATGTTTATTTTCTACATATCTTCTAGAAACATATTTTCTCCCATGTTACGTTTGTTATGAATGTATCTTAAATACGTTTATTTTCTACATATCTTTGCCATTTATTGTCTTGCTTATAATAATGATAGTCATTTATAAATATCATTTTCAGTGTTTCCCCTAGGTTTACTGCCTTGGCAGGGTGCTGCTCGGGTACCCCCCCAACGTGGGGGTGCCCCGAAAAAAAAATTCGGTACAAAAGTAAAAAAGTAATTACTTGTATTACTTTTATTCAAACTGTATTCCCTTCTTATCAT